ATAAGTTTGAGTGTACTTGTTTAATACTTCCTCCAGCAAACCTAACATCTTGAAAGGGACCAGTAAAATTAGAACAACCCAAGAGCATGTACTCTGTTTTACCTTTTGTTTTTTTCTGGATGAGGAGTTAGTAAATTATCCTGACACCAAATTGACAGTTTATGTAGGATCAAATTCAAACTATTTGCAATGATATCTGATATTTGCAATGATATCTATTTCCCAACAGCATATATGGTAGTATTGTCAGCATACATTTCGGTTTCGTCATCAACATCTTTAGTGGTATCTGGCAGATCATTGCAAAAGAGAGGAAAGAGAATGGGTCCAAGGACAAACCCCTGGGGAACCCCATGCTTGACTGTACTCCTGAACTGCTGATAAATAAAAGCTTGTTATAGTGCGCTATGTTGTGAAATGTTAAAATTGCTTGTGAAATACAAACTAATTATAGCACATATAGTCGACTTGGTCTTTTCCACCATGGCATACTTCCTTTCAAGCATTAACTAATGCTTCAAGATATCAGCTTGAATGCTGTTATTGGAAATATAATATCCCTTACAATAAGCGGCAGCCTGTTTCATTATGGCATGTGAAATTGATCACACGAAGAACACATTCGACTTGCAGCAGGGTAATTTGACGAAATTTTGCTATTTTTATTAGTTAATTTGTTTGATGCCGATCATCTTAATATAGTTGCATGCAACTTAAAATTTGTAAACTACCGCCTGTTATAGAAATACAATGTTTTGGCCAAAGTTTCACCATGCAAATCAATAATCTTTTGATATTGTCACTAATGAATGTTCGCATTGATCCAGATGACAAATGGCCAAGTTATCTATCGCTCCAAGTCAAAAGAATTTCAAGAGTTCTGCGTAGTAACTGTGACGGTGGTTTGAAAATCGAATATTCTAACATTGAAGACAGTTTTCAATCCAATGCTGCTAGAGTTTTTAATAGACTTCCAGGACATATTTGAAACTAATGGATTTTAAAAATTATAAGATTACTCTTAAAAGAATTTTATTAGATCAGGTAGAGAAAGGATTGATAAGGATTGATTAATTTTCTCACAACCTGATTTTAACTATTTGAATTTATTTATAAATTTAGAAATAGTTAGCTTTTTTAAATGTACGGATGAAGAGCCATGCAATATGGATATGCCAAATTAAATCTTTATTATTATTATTATTAGTATCTACAAGAGCATTAACTTCTACACCACCAACTTGACATTTAACAAAAGGTTGGGAAGGAATATGAAAAGAATTAAAATTGTCACTTATGTGGGGCTGAAATGCATTCCTGCCTAGGTTCTTTGAGCTGCCACTTGTCCATTTAAATGATTGCCATAGTCTTGTGCCAGATGCCCGTATCCTTACATTCAAAGCACAGATTCCCTGTTCAGTGTGCCTTGCCGTTGGGACCATCGCTGGGTACCACCATTCATTCATGCATTCTCTGGCAAGTGTCCTTTCTCATCACAATCCTGTAGTAGAACTTCTTTACGGACGTCAGGTGTCTTGCGCTGGTTGCGCTCACATCCGTTTTAGGAATTAGATGGTGTGGGCAGAAATACGCACAGGAATTTTGTTGGATTGCCCATCTAAGACGTTGATGATGCAGTTATACTGGGTGTATCAAAAAAAGCGCAATCCTCGACTGAAATGTAAATTGCTAAACAAATAATAGACGAAAACGTTAAAGTTTACATTCATTTTAAAGCGTAGCCATTCAGCTTTCTAACAGTGGGTTGTTTCTTAAATTTGACTCATTGGTTCGCGGATAATAATACTTTACGTTATTGCGATTGGAGATTAAAAAAATTGAGATGGAATAACAAATCGTTCTCATGAAAATAACTGATTTTTTCATTAAAACAAAAATGTTGCATTTTATTAAATGGATTGTAACAATAAGTATAATTACGACTTTTCTTCCACTATTTTTAACTCAGTTTGAAACTTCAAATGCGATATAATTTTGGCTTGGACCATCTAAGCTGACTGACATCAACTTGCTATAATTTCTGTTTACATTACATCGCAATTCGATGACACTCTGGCTCAAACACCAGAATGTTTTGACGATTTTTAGCATTCGTTTAGGATTTTCAAACAACCTGGTCTCTTTTAAAATACTTTTAATTTGTTCTTACGTGGTTTTCCAGATGTAGTGGCGACAACATTAAAGTTTAAAGAAGAAAATTCTAACATTTAAACTGACTAAACAATAACATAGTAAACTTGCATAATTAAACAGCAACTAAAAATGATAGGTTTTACTAAATCTTTTCCTGTGCAATTATTGCTAGCATTGGAGACAAGGATAATAGTTTGTTTGAAAGAGAAAAGAACAGGCTTTGAAGTAAGCCTAAAAGCGTTTAATTAGAAATAGTATTTCGAAAGTTATTAAGCACAAAAGATGAATTGCGTTTACTTTGATACACCCTGTATAGCAAATGAAGGTTTAGGGCCACTTTCAGAATGTTCCTTTGAACTTGGTGGTTGCAACTCGAACTGTTCCTGGAATTGACTTGCTTGATTAAATTTCTTTTGCTTCGTTGGAAAGCGCGTATTTCATTGAGGAACCAGAGTTGTGTCGTGTGTAAATATCTTCAAACACACTGTTGACATTCTGGAGCAAACCATATAGTTCTCTCAGTTTATTCAGGTTTTCTGCAACATTGCTAAGTGTTGCCACCTGACTTTCGGATTTGTAATACAGGATAATTTGATCTGGATAGCTGTTTGAAATAACCAATCAGGTCATGTCCATTGTTCTTTTTCTCAAGCAACTCGTTCATTGTGGCCTCAAGCTTTTCAAAAGAACTGCTCCATCTAATCTTAATTTTCTGTGTAATTGTAAGATATTTGACAGTATTCAGAGTATTGATGGTATTAATTAATTTGTATAATTACCTCGGGTCGGTACCAGACCAAGGTCATAAATTCGGCTCCTTTTTTTCCATTTTGTGTCGAGCCGCGTGCATAGTTGAAGAGCCTGCGGAGGAGACAACGACTTCTTGTAAATAAGTGTACTTCCGGGAAATTTCAAGCATCGGCCAAAGCGAAACGGAACCCGAAGCTGTCTTTGCACAAGATCCGTCAAAATTGTTGATTTAAAACCAGAAGATGTGATAATTTTGACATACATGTTAAGCTGGATAACTATTGTCAAGTATATGTTGATATAATGTACAATACTTCGTGTGCATAGCATGGGAATACCACGGCCAACTTTCACTTGTGCAAAAAAACAGTAGGGAGCCAGCTTAAGCACACATATGTTTTTTTAACAAATTTATTTGGATCAATGTATATACAAACATGCAAAGAAAAAAGCGAATATTTACATAGTAAAAACACAAACATTTTAAAGTTAGATCCAAAAAGGCAAGGTACGAACAGGACTCTTTTGAAAAGTTCCCATGCAAGGCACCTGGCAGTGTCCAATTATATCATTATATATACAGTTATATACACATGGTACACATACGCACACTCACAGACAAAACACACACAGACTGGTTACACACAAATGCTTAAAGATAGACTATCAAAAAACGAATTTATTTTCGCGGTTCTCTATGACAGGGACAGTCACGCACCAAGGACCAAGTACAGGATAGTTCAACATCATATACTGAGCATAGAAGTTCTAAATATCTGTGTTTAAGAAAGTTTTTGAAAGAGATAGGGCTAGAGAAAGAATCTGGATTGACATTGTGACATACACTGTTCCACGGTTTGACAATACGGTTGAAATAAGAAAATTCAAACATAGCAGTTCTGCACATGGGAGTTTGAAGCATTACACCAGTAGCTTGGCTAAGTCGAGTACGTCCATGTTGAACAAAAGAGACACAATCGTTAATGTTAAGATCGATGATCTGGTAAGATCTTTCATCTCTCTATCGTAGGAGAGTGGTAAGAGTTCCAACTTCAACAGGCATTGCTTATGTGGTATTTCACAAGTCCCGGTTCTTAGAATCCATTTTGTGGCTCTTCGTTGTACTCTTTCAATCCTTTCACTGAGTTGTCTGTTGTGAGTAGGCGACCAAACTTGTATGGCATAGCCGAGCTTTGACTTCACCAACAAAAGATACGATGTACGTCGGATGTTGATGTCTGTGAGTGAGTAGCAAGTCCTCTTAAGCACACCAAGCTGCCTTTTTGCTTTTGATACAATTTGGTTGATATGTAAGTTCCACTGCAGTTTGCTGGAAAAGATTACACCACGGTCTTTCTCGTCATCAACTCTGAACAGCTCTTTTGACCTGAGGTGGTAAGGAAAAGAAACTGGGGCCTTCTTGCGCATCACCAACAATACTTTACACTTTGACCCATTGAATTTAATGTTGTTATCCTGACTCCAAGTATCAAGGTTTGTTAAAGTTTCTTGCAGCTGGTTGCAGTCATTCACTGATGTTATGTTCTTGTAAAGCTTAGTGTCATCTGCAAATAGTGCTGGAACTACTTTGTTGTTGATGACTTCAGGAGCATCGTTGATGAATATAATGAACAACATTGGACCCAGGATACTACCTTGCCGCACTCCGGATGTAACTGGAGTCCATTTGGATGCAGCACCATCCACTATGACTCTCTGATGACGGTTGATGAGGTAATCACTCAACCAATTTAACAGCCTTCCTGTTACACCATAGCATTTAAGTTTATGAAGGAGAATGGAGTGATCTATGGAATCAAAGGCTTTCACGAAGTCAAGGTACACTATGTCAGTCTGTTCGTTCTTATCAAGTTTTTGTCCTATAGAATGAAGCATGGAGAGCAATTGTATAACACAGGAACGATTTCGTAGAAAACCATGTTGATGAGGAGTGATGAGATGAAAGACATGTTCGTAAAATTGGGAATACACACAACGTTCCAAAACTTTGCTGACTATAGGAAGGAGAGAAATGGGACGATAGTTTTCTGCTGGTTCTTTCAGCAGCTGCTTGTGCAGTGGAGTAATGTTCGCTGATTTCCATTCTAATGGCATTCGACCACATTGCAGTGAATGGTTGAACAAGGTACATAGACTTCGTGCTATTTGTTGGGTGCATTCTTTCAATAGCATAGATGGTAAACCATCGGGGCCACTTGCTTTCGATGTATCCAGACCATGCAAACAGTTGGCAACTTTGTCTACACCAATTGCGATGTCAGATAGATGTTGTTCTGTTCTTATTGGAAGTGAATTGTCGGTATTGCCCTCACCAATGTTTGATTGAGGAGAGGTAAAAACAGAGGAAAAGAACACAAGGTAGCTCCAAAATAGCTTGGGATTATTGAGAAATGAATCTCTAATTTTCACAACATAGTTACAATGTTTTTATCTCATTGCGTATCACATATGTATACGGACACTTCGGGGAAATATTTTTCAATGGCGTCAGTGTCTGCTAGAGAATGATCAACCATGAAATACTTCTGGTTCCAGGATGGATTTCAAGTTTTTAAAATTCCAAGGGCCTCTTCAATGCTCACCGAGTCCTCATTTTGGCACATAAACTCAGCTACAACCATGTATCCAGTATTTCCATCTACGCAGACGAAAAATAGAGGGATGACGTACTTCGTTGTTTTATATATTGTGTCCATAAGAACAAGCTCTCCACCGTACCTTAAAAGAAGTTTTCTTTGCCATTACTCCTGATGTACAAATAAGAATTTTTTTCCTCACAGCCGCTAACTTCATCTCTTGTCCTTAGGAAATAATTAGAATTTGGAGATTTCTTCTTCCATTCATCCACTTTCACTCTTAAGGATTCTTGATCATAACAGGAATATTTGTTCACGCTAATTGTTTTTGCAATGTGGTTGCACAGATCCTGTCTACTGGGGTAGTATCTTCGGTTGGATTTAATTGGTTTTTCGCTGCTATTACCAAAAAGCTCTTTCTCGACATATTGCTCAAGACATTTACTAACCATTACGGGATTGGTGATATTTGTCGATACAAGTTCGTGGATTTTGTCAATGACTTTTACATCTACGTAGTGGCTAACTGTTGCTGACTTTCCTACAGGGTGCAACATATGTTCCAACATTAAAGGAATCTTGGAATAGTAGTGCATTATGGTGGTCATGTTTTTATTTTTCGACAAATCATCTCAGAACCCTTGCAAAAGGGCTTCCTTACATTTTCGCATTCCTTTTTTTTGAGGCGCATTCATTCACCTTGTATTCAGTAAACAATTTAATAGTGCGCACTTATATCGTTGCAGAGCAGTCCAGTTTCCTGGTCACTTGAATTTTTATGTAGCCTCCAGAACCTCTTGAATAATCATGCTCTGGTCCATTTGGTTGATTTTTTCCTCTCCTAGCATCCTAAAATAGTCACGAAACAGAGGAACATTCAGAAGAAACAAAATAACTTGTTGGTTGCCGGTCAAATCCTTACCAAGTGTAAATTTACAAAACTCAAGGCAGGAGTAACCAACAACCTGTTATATCATATAAAGAAAGGGATCACTATAATTATAATATAGTCATTCACCGTATACGAGCTGTTCTGCAATCTGATTGGTTGAATTACTTGCGGTATACAGCAATTTTCGTCCAAGCACAAACCGCAAACATTTGCGCGCATTTGTTTACGTTTGAAACGGGGCGTTTACCGTTGGAAACGGAAATGTTTCACTGCTCATTCGACGTGTTATAGTGAAAAGCCTAATTCAATTATTTTTCATGTTTTGATGTGCTTTTGTGTACTTTTCAGTGTTTCCAAGCTCACAATATTGTAAGAGCGACCAAACTTGTTTATATTCATACTTTTTGTGACTAGAACGTATTATCATGGGCTGGAAAATATTGAAACGTGCACGGAGGCACATCAAAACATGACAGTTGCGCCAAAAATAGCATAAGGCTTTTCAATGTGACACGTCACATGAGCGGTCAAACATTTCAGTTTCCAACGGTAAACGCCCCGTTTCAAACGTAAACAAACGCGCGAAAATGTTTGCGGTTTGTGCTTGGACGAAAATTGCTGTATCAGCTTATATACAGCGAGTAGTGAAAAACAAGATGGCGGTCCAAAAACTGCATGAGTTTCGCGAAGCAGAAAAAAAGAAAATATTCGCTTTGAGAAAGATAATAGTACAAGGAAAAACTCTCAAAAAAATTTGACAGGTTAGCAAAATACATTTATTACATAGAAATTAGTTTAAATACCAAATTTAAGTTTTTAAAGAATTAATACCAAAACAACAGCAAAAAAAACATGTTCATTGAGAATATAAATTGTGCAGAAAAGTTTGCAACAGAAGACAAATGAATTTGCAGTCAACAAGCACTTACTTTAATACTACCAAACATCTGTATAATATCATTGAGCTTTTCTGTGAGATACACCGGTTCTAAAACCATTTCTTTCACTTAGACTTCTAGTTGTAAAACAAAAGTATTACAAACTTTCAAGGCCAAGCGGTTTTTGGTCGAACAAATTGTCAAGACATTGTAACAGAGGATAATTAATTATTGCTTCAGTTAATGGCTATTAGACTGTTAATTATGTGTGTGCAAATAGTCTGCCTATTATTTTAAGTTTCATTTAGGTCACTTTGGGTCATTTTAAGTCATTATTAGCATATATACACTGATCCAACCAATTACAACTTGGACTTTTACGTAAATACATCTACATAACTAAATATAAGCTATGCTAAGTCCTTTCTATGCAGGTCAACTATTAGGGCACACTCAAGTTACAATGTGCCCTAGTGTAACTTGATAGGTTACACTAGGGCACACACTAAGTTACACTAGGGCAGATGTGCCCTCGTGCAACTTGAAAGGTTACTAGGGTACAGCTAGGTTACACTAGGCCCCACACTAAGTTACATTAGGGCACATCAGATCAGAGTAAACATCCAGTGTTAAAGCAAAATTGTCTTGTGTTAAACAGTAAAATTGTCTGGTAGATGAGAGTAATATGGTGTGGCATTATCGACACAGAGTAAATTAATCATCAGACAGATACCATAGTACTAGCATTAACAGCATAAGATAAAATATGATTTCAGTGTACAGTTGGCAGGGTCACATTATTTTACTCTCACTAATGCTGGAGAATTTCAAGATGATTTTGACTTTCAACAGGCATTCGCCTAGGATTCTCCTAAAATGTTGTAAAGTAGCTGGTGTTAGACACAGTAAGTAAAATCATCTGCTGTTAAACAGTATAATAATCTGATCTAGAAGGAGTGGTGCTAAAACAGCAAACATTACATTTTTTATTTATTTAACAGTATCAGTAAAAAAATTCACATAACAGTAAAATTTTTCCTAATTTCATGAACACATAAAAAAGCACGTAATTGCTCCCAGAATATAATATATATTAATTATGTGTCAATCGATCACAAAAATAAATGAAGTCCGTATTAGGGAAGCAAATGGACAGTCGTTTAAGACCATCAAATACATATTTTCCATATCTTGTAATTGTCATTCCAGACCCCAATTCGATGTATATGTTGGCCTGCATGAAGGCAGAGAAAGATGCAGGTACTGGGGAAGGTGACAAGCGATGTAAAAGCTATGAAAGGATCTGTAAGACCTGTAAACACACTCTGACAGCATTTATTATATAGTTTCATATTTCTTTTATCAGAAATTTTAGCAGTTTAAGGCCCTTTAGTCATGGTATTTTTTGGTCTTTTTGAATTGTTATAGTAATTACAACACTTAATTGCTAAGTCTTCCATGACAGTGAACAACATTTTTAGCGGCTCAACATTAAACACTATAGAATGTGGGCCGTCAACGCTTAACATTAGACCCATCTGAACCATCTAGTCTGGTGTTGGACAGTAAAGAAGCAATTTGATATACATGTATTTTGGTTGGTAGATTGATCTACTTTCAGTAAAACCAAATTTACATTGAGATGACATCTATGATTTTACTCTTGAGTATACATCCACACCGGACAGGCTGAAAAGTTAGCCTGACCATGGTGGGAATTGAACCCATGACCTTTGAAATACTAGTCCAATGCTCTGCCAACTGAGCTACGAGGAAAAGTCTGTTCGAGTGTGGTATTTCAGAACTAAGTCTAGTACCTTTGATACCAATGTGTGCTATGATCATATTTTTTGCATTTTTTTTTATGTTACCCTGAGTGTATTATCCACACCGGGCAGGCTGAACATTTAGCCTGACCACGGTGGGAATCGAACCCGCAACCTTTGGGATACTAGTCCAACACAATACCACACACTCAAATAGACTTGGCAGAAATAAAACAAATTACAATGTTATTTGTAGTTACTTCAGAGTACAATGCTGACACAGTGTCAGATTTGGCCAACGATCTAGCATTTATAATCAGGCATTTTGGGACAACCTTAGCAGAGAGGGGACCAGTCTTTGAAATATTTACTGATATTAAATTACAAATGTTTCTGTTCTGCTTATTCTGTGTTTAATGATATATACATGAAGGGGATATTCTTATAGTAGTTTGTGAAGGGAATCATTGTCTATGTAATCAGTATTGTTTATATTCGAGACAACATATATTTCCTTCTCTAGGGATTGAAATTTATTGATAATTAGACTCAAATTGCATTTATTAAGATCAGTGTATTGTTCGCTGTCATGGGGTGAAGATTCTTTTATGATAATAATTGCATTCAACGATACACTGTCTTGGTTTCAATTGTCATCATGGGACATACTATTCAATATTTGATTTTCTAAGGAGAGCAATTTTGACTTGAATAAATTCTCCTCAGTAAGTCAACAAATTTATTTGATTTCTTACAATAGATTCCAGCTCTTTCTGTTTTGATCGAAGCAAGTTTCTCTCTGACATAGACTCATTCTGTGACATTGCATTCTGTGACAAGTACAAGTACAGCTACATACCTCTCATTGATCTTTAGGGCTAGGAGTACCTAGCCCTAGTTGGCAGCTACGTTTGTTTTGTCCTTTGACATTTCCTCGTGAACTGATTGGTTTTCTTTATCTACACTTGCTTCCTCACCAACAGCGGTTGATAAGTAAATAGGCAATTGAGTTGTCTTGTTGATGTGGCTTGCATTTGCCAAGTTTTCAAATTTCTGCTTTAAGAACTGATCGTCATTATCAGCTTGAATAGCAAGTTTTTGCAACCATAGACCATACCATTTAATGATAAATTCATTCTTGGCAGTACAAAATAGCTTCATATTACCGCCAGGTGAATTCCATATCCCTTGCAGGTTGAAATTGTTTTCAAAAAAGCACTTTAGTTCAGACAATGAACTGATCCAATGATAAACTTCAGCATCGTAGGTAAACTTATTTGTCTTACTTGTCATTAGACTTGGATCTTTGGCCCTTGAAATGATTGAGCGGAGCTCTAAGAATATGCTATACCCTTCAGGGATGTATTTGTTCTCTTTAGATGCGGTGACCGGACATTTTCCCAAAAGACATTTTGCAGAACGGACATAGCAGTTTTAGTCTTGTAGAGCCCTTCTTATAAAGTTTCTGCAAGTATTCGTTAAAAGTTAATTTACTGTCCAAAGTCACACCCAGATAATCATATGATGCAGAGGAATGGGTGCTGGGGACTGTACATGCACAGTTTTAGCTTGATGATGCCATACTTCTTCAGATACGATCATTTTAATTATGCCAGATGGGGATCAGTGTTAATCACAGAAATGGATCAGTTACCAACAGAAGTGTTAGATGAGTTCAATAGCAGTAACTTCATTGTCAAATGGAGTGCAAGAAAATTCAATCAAGTCAGTCCCGATCACAGTCTGGAATGGCTTCAATGGCATTGGGAAAAGAGGAGGAGGTATTGTGGACATAATGAATACATTGTCTGCTTTAAGTAGATGGGCACTGTCTTGTAATCTGCATTCACAGATAGACGAAACACACAAGATGTTTGGATTAAGCCATGAAGACAATTTTTCACACAACGAATTGACTACAGTAAGGAAACACCGCAACGTTCTCTCTGCACCATATTTGAAGAGTACAGAGTCCCCCCCCCCGACAGCTTATCCAGATTGCCTTTATACCATCGCTACAAAAGACGTCATCTCAGAAGAGATTCAAGTGAGATTCAAGTTTCGCTGTTAAATGCGCGAGATCCTGGTCAGCAGCAAATGAGCGAATTTGTGGAGCAACATCTACAAAGTGTCCCTGACGGCTAACAGCCACAGGAAGCAGCCTGCCAGAAAGTGGAATTCTACGACACCATTCACAAGAACAATTGCTCCAACCTTTGATAATTTGTATGAAATTGTGAAGGCAAAAGAAAATAAGAAATCTACAATACTACGAGTTGACAAAAACGTTTTGCATTGTTTAATAGTAACTTATGAAGCTGGGCGCAGTGTTGATATATATTCATCAGATTACAGTATAGGAATGGTACACCATCAGCTAGGGAATTTGCTCCACCTAAACAGAAATTGAATTGTATGGAAGAATGTGAGATGTGTAAATCTGGTAAGAAATCTAACCAATGTTTAAGAAAGAATGCTGTCTATGAAATCACCTGATCACATTGTGGAATCTTGTATATTGGCAAAAAGGGCAGAACAATACGATCACACATTAAGGAAATTTGACAATGGAGAAACAAACAGTCTATAAGCACTTGGAATCACATAAAGAAACAGGACATGCACCAGACCATAATGATATAACTTGGAGAATCTTACATTCAAATATCAAATTTGCCGACGAAAGGAAATGCATTGAAGCATTCGAAATACAAAAGAAATCACATAACATCATGAACGGTTGCATAGGGAGAACAATAACAATTTAGGACACTTGATTTTAATTTTAATTGTTAATTTTTAATGGGAACAATTAGGCTCCACGGAATTCAATAGGCACTTTTATCAAATTTTAATAGGAACAATTATAGACTCTAGAGAATTCAATACTAGGAATTTTTAATTATTGATGTACAGTATAAAAATAGGGTGTGTAATATTACTGTAAAGTTTTTATCTACTGAAGAAGCCTTGATCGGCGAAACGTCTAGATATTAAATATAACAACATTTTATGTCTGTTGAAATTCCATCCACAAGGAACCTTCACATAATATATCCCAGACATGATGCCTGAAACCCTTTCATATATATATATATATATATATATATATATATATATATAGAATAAAAATGTTTTATTCTGTTGATTGATTTGTGAGAACAGCAAAGCCAGCATGGTCGCCATGCTTAACTTGAAATTATCATTTTATTACAGAAAGTATTTTTCACAATGACACGTAATGTAATATAATTTTACGGCGCATGGAAACCTGCATAACAATAACATGAAATCAATAACCCACGAGCATTTGTTGAAAGACACACTGTTATTGAATTACAACTAAGATATAAACTCCCCCAGTTTTACATATTCGTGTCCAAGCCAACGTTTGAAGCAGATATTTAAACTGTAGCAAAGATTGTCTATCTATTATTACACTCCTCGTCACAAGAACAAAGTGCTGTGCAGTGGAGGTTAACTTTAAGACAGGAGCACCTTCCTCTGCAGCCCTTCTTATACCCCACATCGGACTAGCTCACAGCATACTTGTGTGACATCTGGGAGTGTCGTCCAGTATGGCTCCCACTTTCCTTCGCACAGAGTCCAGCCCCAACTCTCAGGTCTAGGAAGCACCGGGCGTGGCTTAAGAGCTTGTCCCCAGCAGTGTCCCGCCTGATATGCAGCACGTCTTGTATGTTCCACTAGAGCCGCTCTAGGAGGTATGGCGTCCAGAGATCGACCTTTCTGTGCGAACAACTGCTTTCTAGCTTAATTTACAGTCGACTTGTTGCTGGTTCGGTCGTAGAGTAGCACTATGTAACGCTCAATGCTGATCATACAAGACTCGCTCACTTCTTGTGGTTCGGAGGCCAGGAGGAGAAAGGCATCTGCGACTTCAGGGTACAACTTCCATACCTTGAATGCACTTTTCTTTCCTTTTCCAGCAAAACAGGAAACTGTATCACAACCTGTGAAGGCGTGGAAAAAAGGGAATGCTTTTGAAATTTGTGGACCAAGGTTGGCGCAAATTGTATGAGCAGCAATATATCGAAGGTTTGCTCCAGTTCCAAATGCGAGCCATAGTTCAGGTTGTGTGGGGCCAGAAAGAAGTGGTAGTGCTGCAACTGCAAGGACCAGAACATCCGTATCTACAGTGCGGATAGCGATCCTTGTATAACCACAGTTGTCTTGCACGGAAGTATCATTCCGGTGTCAGCTTCTTCGTGAGAACAAGGAGCAAGACATGTAAGGTCATGCTGTACTGAGCACTTGGTTTCCGACTGTCGTAATGACTTGCTTCTCCATGTTGTGGTTAGATAAATACTCTGCCAGAAACTTTAAAAGTTGGGTTTTGTTCTCATCCACACGAAGAAATTCACCCCAATTGCGAGGAATAGGACTGCTTGCAGAGATACGACGTCGAACACCAGCCCCTCGGTTGCATCTGGTTGTATGTTTCAGGCTGTTTTGAACGTAAACGTCCCACACAACATCTATTCGGTCAACAAGTCTGGATTGTGTTTCTATGTACGGTAGGAAGGATTTCAAAGCGTAATCTTCAAATGTTGTCTCTTTGCTTGGTCTGATCATATTGACAGCTACAGCCCCATCGATTATGGTAACATTGACAGTCTCCCTAGTAGATTGTGCAGCTGTGCCATCCGCTAGTAGACAGTCTACCAGTTCCGATTTCTTTTTTGGTAGGCGGAGCTTTCCCTGGTTGGATAGGGAAGGAGGACAGCCTTGATTTTCATGCATGAAGTCGTCAAGGTCACCGTCTCTGGTCTGACATGAGATGTAGAGGCGGGAAAAAAGAGCGCAGTCGCTCTTATTGTTGGAACTTTGCTGTTTTCTTCGGCAGGGCAGAAGTAAAAAAGCTTAGCTTGTTCCGCTTGATTCGATCAAATATGGAACTCTTATGTTCCTCCAAACACTCCAACACAAACTCGTCACACTGGGATTTACCTTTGATCTCAATATTCTTGAGTCTCTCTAGCGCATCTGGCGAAGCAACTTCTTTGGTGTCCAGTGCAACAAGATCGTCACCTTGGTCCAGGAAAGGGTTCCCGAACTCTTCAAATGTTGCCACCAATGACTTGACATCATTACCAAACGAGGTTTGAAAACTTTTCTGAACGTTGTGGTGTGTCGACATATCTTCCGGTTGATTCAGCTCGAACTCATTCACTAACCGCGCTATCTCAGGACCAGATGTCATCCATCGTCTTAAGGCACCTGCGTTCTCGGTTAAACCCACTGCTCCTCCGTCCCCTTTAGCAATTGCGTTATTCTGCTCGTGAGCATGGTCAATTGCTATAGCTGAACGCACTGTGAACAAACCTTGCTCCAACTCGGTAGCAACGTCTGGGGAAATTTGCGGCAGTAGGCACATATCCCAAAGATGAACTGGAATCCAATGGGCGTAATTTGTGTGGTTCAAAGCAAACAGCCAGGGAAGCATCAGAGAAAGCGTGTCGCGGTAGAGGGAAAAGTCACCTAAACGTATAGATTGAACAAACATCAGGAGAATTAGTTGCAGCTTAAATGTGGTGTACCAATAGTAGAACTGCGGACAATTGGTAGCTTGATGAGTGCACCAGTCGTGAAATGAATGGACATCATCATCTGGATTTGCTTCTTGAGTGTAATTGTTGTGCGCCTTCTTAAGTAATATGAAAAGGCTACTCGCGGTTACCTGATGAGCCCTTCTGGATTGGGTGACACTAGTTGCTTTGATAAATGATTCTGCCGTGACCGATGATGCAATGTTAGCATCTACTAGAGCGGTCGTCCATCCACTTCCCTCTAGCCAGCTACCAATAAGCTTAAGGAAGCCCATTTCGATATGTAGCCCTCCAAACATTATCACAAACTTATCTTCTCCGTATTTTTCTTTAAAGTTCCACTGTATTTGTTTGGCTACAGTATACAGAGGCTGATCTAACGCTATCACTGGAACCTGTCTTGGATTGAGGTGATGTACACATGATTTGATCACATCCATTGCGTGTGCGATCATGGCCACGGACTTCGCATTGTCAGGAAACAAGGGCAGTAACGCTGATATGGCAGGTAGATGAGAAGTGGGCTGTTGACTAGCAGAGTGATATGCTGCCCATGATATGACAGTGTCGGAATTTGAGTTTTCATTATCTAAATGACTCTTGACGGTTTCTAACCACAATCCCTCTTCTTCGGGAATATGAACAAGTGAAGATCCATTGCATGGGCCACATCCATCCGGAACTGGAGGAGACTTGTTAGGCAAGGATACTGGGGTTATGTTTGTGTACCCAGTGAGAGAGCTCTTCCACAGTTTTGGAAGCTGGCACTGTGGTTTTGTCTATTGATATGGTTTGCTGAGCAGAACCTCGCTTCTCAGTTGCTAGGTTTTGAAAAATGGATATCCCTGTGCCATGGAAAGAATCCTGTGCTGTTGTGGAGCTGGGATTATGGTCGATATTATCCACAGCAGCAGTTCTGAACAAACCAGTGCGCAAGTTGGAAGGGCATACCACATTCTGTTGGTGGTAGCGGCGGCAGACTGTGTTCCCCAATGAAGTTGATATGGAAAGGATCCTATCATAAGAAACACTTAGCCCAAGATTGTACATTGTCTCAACTACTTCGCGGCTGCGAGTCTTAGAATGGATGGCAAGACCGGTGTAGATAGCGACTGGCGTTTCATGTGATTTATTTTTACGCTCTTGTTTGATACCTCTACGACGTGCTTAACAATTATACTGCAGGAGTTGAGCGATGGTCACACCAGGTTGGTTAGCAGTCAAGTTACAGGACTGGGTTTCAATATTCGGTCCATAAAGAATCGTGTTTATTAAAGACAGGAGAGACTTTGGTGCAGAGTTTTCCTGGCAGTTTGCATCAAAAGAACCATTGAAAGTGTGTGTTGTTGTTAACATGTCTTTTCGTACACTGTTAGCCGCTTTTACCAGATGGATAGCTTCTTCGTCGCTATCAACCACGTGAGCCCCTCGAATAATTTTGCCAAGCTTCTCTCTGAATGCCAGGTATACATCCCGGCCTTTGCTGTAATCTTCTAGACTTGGGAGATGGGTAAGAATCCGCTCTTTTAGCCGAGTGCTGTTAATACGTGCTATAGAAGGACGCCCAAGCTGTTGAAGACGGGATTGTTATACTTTTGCAAGATCAGCCAGTTTAAAAACGGATTCACTTGATTCTTCAATGTATGAAATGAGCTCTGCCAAAGCGATACTCTCAGGGGAAATTTCATTTTCATTCTGATCGGCTGTTTCATTTAGAGAGCCTGCCTTCTTATAGAGCTGAGCAAGGCACGCAGGGTGATAATTAGCCTCCAGAGCAACGAGGTCTGTTCCCTAACTGAGCTTCGTTAACAACTTTTCATCTGAAGCTTGAAGGCACTAGCACGAACTCGCGAGTCTAAACCAAAAGTAGACACGTTGTGTAGCGGCTTCCTGTGTCTACTGATCTCATCACAGAAAAAACAAATTGCAACGCTTTTAGGGATATCACTAGAAATTGAACGGGTATACTTCTGTGCTACGGTCTGATCTGATTTGCCGCTATGTCTTTTCTCTGCTCTCTTTAACTTTGTTGCATTGAAAAGCGTGTAGCAGCCCTTATGCCATTTTGCATTATTCTTCACAAAGGTGTTCTCAATGCCGTTTCCCTCGTCTAGTCTAGAAGGACTTATATTAATGGGAAGGCATCCAAGCTCGTGAAATTTTTGGATATTTGCAGCTACTGTAGCGTAGAATATCCGGCTCCTGCATTATTGCCTTGACGTTTCGTGTCAGCTGGGCACTGTAATTTTTGTGAAGGCTTTACCTCTTGACACACCACACAGCGAGACCAGTCGGTTTTGTCTTTATCAGACATCTACATCTGGTCCTTCTGAGCTAATAAATTGACAGTTATTTATAGCACCTCTATTTATAGGTTATAAATAATTGTATGATTTCAATAAATTACCATAACTGCTGATACTTACAGTCAAAAAAGTGATGTATATTTTCTTTTGTGGTTTCTAGCTATTTATCTCGTTTCAGCAATAATCCAACGTTAAGTATAGTTTTCAGTGGTAAAATTAAGTATAAAAGTATTTAAAATATGGCATTACCAAAGGAACAGCACTTTTGACAATCAAAAGAATGATGGCGACCAAAATATGCAAATTAATCAGAAATTTGTCTATTTGAATTACTTCCGATTGGGGAAATTTTACTTCCGGTTCAAAATGGCGGCCATTTTGAAATTTGCACGTATCGGTCACCAGCAACATATTTCAGGTTGGCTCCATATCAAATCTTGTTCAGCATGTAAAAAACTATATCTGTGCAAAATTTGATGCTTGTAACCAAAAGTGAACAATTTTGATAAAAATCTGCCTATATCCGCCCCACTAAATATAAATACTATGAAATACAATTTATATATAAAGTGAATTACAGCTAAAATCTACTATATATTAAATATTGCATGTGTTATGATAAAAAACTGTCAAGTAAAATTCTCTTTAGTTTCTATTTAAACTCACAATTTGTCTTAACTCGCTTTAAGTTCTGGGCAAGGTCGATCTGGCTTGTTAATAGATGGCATGGCATTATTACCATTTGCATTCAAGCGTTAAGCGAAATTACGGTTTGTTTCCGGTTTTGAGAACATGGGTTTGCCCAATGAAATCTGTACGTTTGACAGGTCAAACTTGTTCGTTTGACTTGTTCGTTTGACATTTCAATTTTCAAAACAACACTTCGCTGGGCGGGACTTATTAATACAGACTATACATTTGAATATTTGATTTTATTTATTAGTGATTTAATACTGTTTATACTCAAAACCAACAAATGGATAATTTTAAAACGAATAAGTTTGGAAGATCCTATATTAGTGGAAAACCTTTATCAGAAGACTTTCGAGTATTAATCTTGGACACAATTATTGAGAAGGAAGGAGACAGTTTAACAGGTTATATTCCAGTTACTTATATCGAGATTTCGAAACGTTTCTGCGTTTCGCAGCAAACAGTTGCAAAGATAAGGAGGGAATTTTGCCAAAGAAACAGTTTTGCTATACAATCCCGTGGAGGACTACGTATTAATAATCGCAAATTAACTGACAATGACTTGGAACTGATCGAAACGTTGAAAGCAAATAAGGGATCGATCTCAATGCGATATACACCCTGTATAAATAATATGAATGGATATATGTTAATATGATGTCAATGAAATGTCAAACTATTAAAGTCTAAGTTTAGTAAATAACTAGTTTATAAATCCCATGTAAACAATACCGTACCTTCCAGAGGTTTATTTTTAATATACAGTAAGTCCCGCCCAGCGAAGTGTTGTTTTGAAAATTGAAATGTCAAACATACAAGTTTGACCTGTCAAACGTACAGTTTTCATTGGGCAAACCCATGTTCTCAAAACCGGAAACAAACCATAATTTCGCTTAACGCTTGAATGCAAATGGTAATAGTTGTTGGCTATCAAAACACTCGATTTTTGTATACTCAAACTGAAATGGAGCCATTATTGTGCTTGCACTGATTATATTCTGTGCGAAGCTTCAAAACTACAGCACATTTTGTATAATTTTAAATATAAATATCAAACAAAATTTGAATTATAAATAGTATTGAAATTTAAAACAACGAAATAGCAAACATTGTGAAGTACGCATAAGATTCAACATGACATTCAGCATGACATTTGATATAGTGTAAATTAACTCATTTCAATCACTCAAACAAACATACAGGTCATATTAGCTGACTAGTACCTGAGTAATTCCATGTCATTTCATCCAGGGGCTAGCACCACATGTCTCCAATTTCTTTCAAATTTGGAGGTTATATTTGCCAACATGAGACATGCAAAAATCCAAAATTTCAGACTTATATCTTTAATAGTCTTCATTTTATTGGACTTTGTAGTTTTATTTTTTTTCTCAAAAATGGGCGTAGTTTGAACAAAATTTGCTGGGTAGCGGATCATGAAATTGTTAATTAAACCTTGGTTATTTGCTGCATTTTCATAAAAATTGGGGAGTTACCCAATTTGATGGTGTAGAATTCAAAAATAACATTTGGAATTGAATACAGCCAATAGGAAATATGTTATTGACATACAAATTGAATTTTCCTGTACATGTCTATCGGCCTACATCAGGTGTGAATTTGGAAATGTGGCAGACATGGTAGAGCTTATTTGACATAACCATCTTAAAGTACACGTGTTCATTAGTATTTCAGGGTATTTTCATCAATTGTTCTTCTAGGCCTCAAAAGTTACATCGACCTGAGTAAACATACCTAAATTCGGTTTTTTAGCCTTGCGCAACATTATAATAACTACTGATAATTCATCATTAATGTATCATACAACTTTGTCATTTAATATTATGAGTTAATGATGAATCCACTGATAAGAAAATCTGAGCAAGAAAGAAATTTGGTTTAAGGTTGTGGAAGCACTTCTGTACATTCATTGTGATTCAAATTCAATCTATTTTAAGAAGCTTTTAAATAAATCATTCATGGCGATTGAATAAGTGTGATTTTGGAGAAGCTGTTGGGGATGAATGCCATAAGCTTTCTTATACAAGAATACATGGAATGGAAAATCTAAGTGACTATTCTGAAGATGTACAAGAAACACTTCTGATGAGAGCAAGAATAGCCAATCAGGATAAAACAAACATGACTATTTGTATTCACCACAGCAAAATGTTTGGCCGTGTGTTTGAAAGACGATTCAACAAATGTTGTAATATTTTTAATTCCCATAAAGTTAAGGCTAAGGGTGGCCATGTTATTATCCTTCATCTTGCAAAGCAACTTAGAGAGAAAGGGCTTGATGCAATAACTGGCTGGCAACTATGCAGAAATTGTTTGCAGAAGGCCACAGATGAGGAACAAAGTGTTAAGACTGTAGATGCAGATGATGAAAGTGACTTAGATATCACAGACATTGAACAAGATCTAGCAAGAGATGCTGCAAAAGATGTAATGAATACCAGTTTTGAGGGACTAGCAGTTTCTCCTGTAAAAACACACAGTCTCAAAGCAACGAAAAATCAGTGAAGCAAGGAGAAAAATAGATAGAGCATGCGCATCAATCGAGGAGAGGGTAGCAGCTGGTATTGATGTTGATAGTACTGAACTAAAAAGGAAAGACCCACAAACAACAATTCCACCATCGATACAAGTGAAAGCTACAGATTTAGATACATTAACTCATCTAATGAAGGAAAAGCTTAAAACGTACGATTATAAAACAAAGATCCAAGTGTTGACACTTACACCTAAGTCATGGTCTCGTAAACAAGCAGCTGAGTTTTTTTATGTGCCTGAGTATAGCATTCATGTTGCAAGGAAATTGAAGGAAGAAAATGGAATTCTATCAGTTCCTAGTCCAAGACACAGCAATACCCTTCCTGAAGATATTAAGACACTGGTCGTAAACTTTTTTGAGGATGATGAGTTCTCAAGACTAATGCCAGGCAAAAAGGACTATGTTAGCATTGCAAAGAATATACATAAACAGCGAAGATTGCTTCCTTGCAACCTAAAGGAGTTGTACAGTGCCTTTAAAGAAAGACATCCAGATGCCAAAGTTGGATTTTCCAAATGTGGTGTGTCTCTGTCGGTTCCAGTGGGACTCATTCTGTTTGTGTGTGCACCAGCCATCAGAATGCACAACTGCTAGTGCATACAGCTAATGTTGGCAAAGACTACCGCGACTTAATGTCAATGGTTGTATGTGATTTAAACAACAAGATGTGTATGATTCATCGCTGCGAGAATTGTCCGGGAGATGAAGTTCTAAGAGAATTCTTGGATGAGAAATTTGCCGACTCCGAAGAGGAAGAGATTTCGTTCCAGCAATGGCAAGGGACTGACAGAGCCATGCTCTACACCCAAACAACATCCACTCGAGAATTTATTGAGCTTATTGTGAATGCTATCAGCAATTTAACTGTGCATTCTTATATTGCCAAATGTCAAGCCCGGTACCTGAAGGATCGAAAAGACAATTTATCTGGAACTGCGTGCATTGTCTTGTTGGACTTCGCTGAAAATTATCAGTTCATGGTGCAAGATGAAATTCAAGGTTTCCATTGGAACAACATTGGTTGTACCCTTCACCCAGTCGCCCTGTAGTTCACTGGAGTTCGCCATGAAGGATGGCGAACTCCAGTGTGAATCGCTATGTGTGATATCTGATGACATGGAGCATGACACTCCCTTTGTTTATCAAGTCAAGCAGAAGTTGTCAAGTATTTGAAGAGAGAGCTTCCTCATGTTATTGACATAGAATATTTTTCAGATGGTTGTGCTGGCCAGTACAAAAACTTCAAGAACATCCTAAATCTTTGCCACCATTTCGTTGATTTTGGAATAACTGCAAAGTGGTCTTTCTTTGCAACCAGTCATGGAAAATCCCCCTGTGATAATATTGGAGGTACGGTGAAAAGACTAGTTGCAAGAGCGAGTCTGCAAAGACCATTAGATGACCAAATATTGTCCATGGACAAAATGTTCGAGTATTGTGAGGGTAGCATCAAGGGTATAAAGGTAAGAAAGGAAGACATGACACCTGTCAGGCAAATGTTGGTTACCAGGTTTGAAAGTGGAAAGACAGTTCCTGGCACAAGAAGTTACCATCATTTTTCACCAGTTTCTGAAGGGGGAAGTTGCTTACAAGAGAGTGAGTGATGACGAAGTTTCTGTTGGCACATTCAAATTTTTTGACATTGTGTTGGTGGACAAAATTGCTGATGTCAGGATCATGGAATTCATTGCCTGCCAATATGACTCACATTGGTGGGTTGGATTAGTGAGAGAGATTGACAACGAACAAGAGGATATTCTGGTCAAATTCATGCACCCTCATGGACCAAATAAAATGTTTAAATGGCCAGCAAGAGAGGATCTGTGTTGGGTGCCATTTGACAAATTTATTTGCAAAGTGGACACACCTGAAACAACAACGGGAAGGATGTATGAAATAACCGACAAGGATTTCATTAAAATAATGAGTTTGGACCTTTAAGAAATCGAGCATCAAGTTTGAGCCTTCAAGGTCCTGTAAAATGAACCACTACTTACATTCTTAACTATCAGTATATTACTGATGAATTATCAGTAGTTATTATAATGTTTGTGCAAGCCTAAAAACCCGAATTTAGGTATGTATACTCAAGTTGATGTAACTTTTGAGGCCTAGAAGAACAATTGATGAAAATACCCTGAAATACTAATGAACATGTGTACTTTAAGATGGTTATGTCAAATAAGCTCTACCATGTCTGCCACATTTCCAAATTCACACCTGAAGTAGGCCGATAGACATGTACAGGAAAATTTAATTTGTATGTCAATAACATATTTCCTATTGGCTGTATTCAATTTTACATATTATTTTTGAATTCTACAATTTTTATGAAAATATAGCAAATAACCAAGGCTTAATTAACAATTTCATGATCCGCTACCCAGGAAATTTTGTTCAAACCACGCCCATTTTTGAGAAAAAAACCAAAACTACGAAGTCCGATAACTTGAAGACTATTAAAGATACAAGTCTGAAATTTTGGATTTTTGCATGACTCATGTTGACAAATATAACCTCCAAATTTGAAAGAAATTGGAGAGGCATGGTGTCATTTTCAAAAATTTCTGGGTGAATTGACATGGAATTATACTCACCTTTATGCTTTTTGTACTTCGGTTCGGTATTAAAAAAATGAATAGCCCAATTTTCAAGTACCCCCCCCCCCCCTAAAACCTTTTTTGTGAGAGGCTTATATAAGGTTAGCGCAAATGAATTAATGATACATGTTTTGATATGTATTTAGTAATATATGGCTGTAAAGTATCGTCCATTTTACAGGTTTTGATGCCAGTACTGATGGAAATTGGCATGACTGCACTTATAAAAACATTATAATTAGTGACAATTGCAATACCATTACAATACACACAATTTTAGCATTTTTGGCATTGGTAATGTCTTTATAAAATTGCCGTTCTAAGTTCTTTCGAAAATCAATACTAGACAATTTGCATGTTAGCAAAGCATCCGGAAAAGTGGTGATCATAAATACTGTGACGTTATAAAGTTGCCATTTAAAAGGTCAAGTGCAGCTTAGAGATGTGATATACTTTTACAATTCATGTATAGAATCTATATATAGACGTTGGTTTATATAATAAAAACTCTAGTTTTTGTACTCAAACTGAAAAAATAAGACTATGCCTATTGCCTATGCCCATATTATTAGAAACAACAGCTTTAAAAACAACACCGAAGAATCCAATTTAGTATGTATGCCAAACATGAATCACAATTCGTCATTGCGTTATTTGCGTAAATAATCATTGCCTCAATAAATGAGTGATAAGCGTAATAACCAATATTCAGTACATTGTACTACTGGTAGCTGTACTGAATACAATGAATATAATGTATTTCTTGCTTTTTTTCTGTTTACACCGATGTTTAATATTGCGATAGATTTGCACAAGTGTAATTTAATATCACACATTGTAATTATATAAATGCAAACTGCCTAGTTTTCAGGGCGTGAGAAGGTGAAGAAGACTGGGAACGTACTAGTTTTTTGTGCGCAGGGGTCTGAGAACATCCTAGAATTACCTTATTTGGAAAAAAAACTAGGCTGTTGTCATCAAAAACTAGGACGTTCCCAGACTCCAAAATATCAATTGCGCGCAATGACGTTGTTTTAATCTAAATCTAGACATGTTGACAGAATAAAAACATTCCTAAAACAGAGATTATTAATATAATACGGAAACAGCTTTACATACGGTATTAAAATAGCAGAATATTTCAAAATTAAGCACGATAATGTAGAATACACGTACACAACACAAACTGACAACCGATTTTGTGACCTATATCAGGGCATCCTAGTTTACGTTTTCTGGTTGCCTAGTTTTTCAATTTTTACCATTTATTTGCCTAAAATTGGAAAATTTATGAGATTGGGTTCCCAGGCACAACTGGCCTCATTTGGAACCTTGATGTAAATGTGACAGTATTGGGCATAACAGGATACAAGGGGGTAACTTTGGTTCAGAGACAAAAGTGGATTTGAATTATGCCACATCATGTGATAGCAAAAGTGCCGAAGTTCAAGTAAACAATGCATCTTGGTCATATTATAGTTGTCTGTCTTTTATATCTGGTTTAGTAGCTGCTATTGTTCCGTATTGAATCATGCCTTCTTTTTCCGGGTCCTTTGCCATACTTTTGTCACAGACAAATTCCTTGGTTAACACGGTAGTTTTGTTAGTAGCAGACCAGTGGACAAGGATGTATTTCACGATGAATTAAATGCTTGAACATTTAAAAAATGAAGGAGAGAATATTGCTGGTGGTGTGAAGCTTGAATGCTACCTACTTATTTTAACTACTTATTGTACTTATTTAGGACAATTTATGCCCTCAAACGAAGAGTTAATAGTTAGAAAAGCTGCGTTTTTGAAATAAAATGTGGAAATGATGTGTCCCAGTTGAAAAAATATTGCTCTAAAATCCAGGTTTACTATCAGTGTTTGTATAAATGTCTGTATCTCAAAGTGTTTGTATTGACATCCATTTATTTGAACCTGATAAGTAATCTTAATCTAGGGGGGGGGGGGCAACAGAGAGTTTGTTGATGCTTGACCTATTAAGGCACATTGTTCCTGCGGGTATCCTATTTTGTTGCAATTATCTGGACATTTTAATAGGAGTGACTATATGACCGGCAGCAATCATAACAATTTATTAAATCACATTCTGCAAGTAAGTCCACTAGTCCAGGAGGAGGGTGGGTGGCTATTGTAACCTGAGGAGGGAATTGATGAAAATATGCGACTTTGGTCAATTTCGGTGCATTGATTTCACAAATTGATGTTACACATGCAAATAGTGAGGCCCTCAGCCTCGTTTTGGTGTGTACAGCCCCGTTTTGGTGCCTATATATGTGCCTTAGATAGCCAGGTAAGTTGGTGATTTTGCTCAATTTCAGTGTGCTAATTTCAAAAATTGAAGTTATGCACAGAAATATTGG